AAATAGGAAAATCAACGTTTGTCAACAATCAACATGTTTTGCATGCAAAGTATGCATGCATTCTATGAAAAATAAAACTCCTAATACGTTTTCTTCGCTGTTAACGAATCCGTGAGAAATTTTCGTGTGAATGTGTGTGTTTGTTTTCATAGATAGATCACAACGTGGTTAACTAGTAAGTAAACGGATAAAAGATTCGCTTCATCTGTTTCACGGTCATCATACAACGAGATATACAGAATAACACAATAATATTTTCACTATCTTCTTTTTGTTTCAAATAGAAAAAAATCCGAAAAACACTTGTACATCCTGAAAGGTAACTAAATAGGAAAATCAACGTGCTGTTATCTCATTTGAAGAACTGTGTTCACTATGTACAAGTTAAACATTTTATTGGTCGCTCTGGTGGCTCAAGCATACTTCTGTATTGTTGTAGTTGAAGCGGTAATAAAAGGCACGAATGGATTGGGTACAACTCCAGCTCAGCGTCACCAAGTTACTAGTGCACAAGCAAAGAAAATTCTTAATGCAGCAGAGAAAAAAGCAGAAAATATCGGTGTACCAATGAATATTGCCGTCGTTGATTCATCATCGAACTTGGTTGCGTTTCGACGAATGGATAATGCATTTCTTCTATCAATTGATATTTCGATAAAAAAGGCAAAGACTGTTGCTCTTTTTAATGGTGGAACATCAGCATCACTTTACAATCTTTCACAGAAAACTGTTCGAATATTATGTTACTATCTGAGAGGATAGGCAGAGCCTACGGAGTACTCCAAATGCTCACATTCATATTTTACGCCAATGAATTTTTGAGGCACGCAAACAGGTCAGAAATAGCCTAAAAATTGCCTGCGACAACAAGTCCGAACAGGCCCTAGCCTGGTGGATCTCTCTATGGTATTGAAGAAACAAATGGAGGTCTAATTGCATTTGGTGGTGGTTTACCGATTCGTGTACATGGTATTCTTATTGGAGCAGTAGGAGTGTCTGGTGGTAGTGTTGAGCAAGATGTTACAGTAGCTACAGCCGGTGCAAGTGCATTGTAAGTGTAAATAGCAATGTTGTGTTATTAGTATGTTTCAGTACAAAGACACGACTATTCTGATATTTTTAAAACATATTTTTTGTCATGTTATATTTAATCGATTTTCTGTTATGATTTGAATAAGAATCATAATTTAAAAACAACAAAACCAGCACTGTTGTCATCGTCATATTACTAAAACAATTGATTTGCTAATTTTTTCCCTTGTGAAAGTGGAATATGCATGAAAAGAAAAGATGTTGAGTATTATTTTTTTTAATGTTTCTTTTCTTTTAGTATATTATCAGCTATAGTTAACAAATTTAACAAAATAATAACAAAGCCAAATACGTTGGATAAAACTTGTGAGGGTAGTTGCCCAAGTACCCTCACAAGTTTTTTCACTACGGATATGAATATGTTATTTCTAATGATTTAGCTAATTTTATATAATATAATGCTTTAGAATATTTTAAACATTCAATATTATCAGCATACTATAAATCATTAACGTGCGGCACAAAAGTAATTGTCGAAATCTGCAGCCACGGTTCTCCGCTCAGGAAAATCGTAGAAAGTTAATTTTTTTTCTGTTTGAAAGAGCAAAGTCTGAACTTCAAAAAGCATACGAAAGAAAGTTTGTGGAATAGAACTTGAGTGAGAAACAATCTAAATATAAAACATCTCCAAAAAAGGGGTTGCAACATCCTTAGGGTCATCATACTTTTTAGGGCATATCCTCTGATATGAAGGATCGAATGGGAGTTAGCGCTACAAACAGCACTGGAAGAGGACGGCATGTGTGAACTATCACCCGGCGATGGATACTGTAGCTCTGTTACGACCAGCGTCACTGAGTCTCAACACAGTTCTATTTAATACACTAGAAGGTCGAGGCAGATCCATGCGACTACTTGCTTTAAGTAGCATTTCACATAGACTT